TATGAAGCGATCTGAGGACTTGGTAGTTGGGCCAACGCATGGGCCAATTAATAAACCCCATGTGCTTGAATATCCTATAGGATGCTTTGGGTCAAACCAGTATGAAAATCAATTTGTGGGCCATGACACAAATATATCCCTGGGGCCTGACCCCTTTAATCTCAGCCCCCTTATTCGACAAAGTGCCCATGCAGGTCCCCCAAAAAACAGGTATGCTCGAGTCAGGAAACAACGACCTCAACGACGATATACTGCATCTAAGAAGGAGTCCCAGATTGAACCTAGCAACCGCAAACATCCAACAATCTATGTTACAAGTGGGGGGCAACTGGCTCCTCCTTTGAAAAAGTTATGTTCCTATGACGGTACCATAAGAACCAGTCGAACGGCGGAGTTTGAGCACACTCAGCTCTGCCGAGAGCCATGATCGTCCTGAGTTGGAACTGTTAGGGGCTTGGGAACCCCAGGGTAGTTCAGGCACTACGACGTTTGATCGTCGCACAAGGACCCACGGTTGTCTTCCTGAGCGAAACAAGGTGCAATCGTCAATTTTTTTCTTCTTTGTCAATTCAATTAGGTTTCGATAATTTTTTTGCCGTTGATGCCCTTGGCAGGTCTAGAGGGCTGTGTCTTCTGTGGAAATCTGAATGCTAGGTGGCCATCCGATCCACGTCTCTTCATCACATTGATGGAGAGGTTGGAGGTATTGGCGACATAGTGCACTGGCATTTTACTGGCTTCTATGGCTACCCTTCTACTGTAGACAGATATAAGTCATGGCAACTACTCTGAGATTTGGCTACTGAGTCCACGCTCCCTTGGATATGTTTTGGGGATTTTAACGAGCTACTTCACAGTAAATAGAAGAAAGGGGGAGCACCTAGATCAATCAGGCAAATGCTAGCCTTCCGTCAAGCCATTTCTGACTGCGCGCTGAAGGATTTGGGGTTTGAAGGGGCTGAGTATACCTAGTACAACACCAGAGTGGGTGGTATCAAAGAGAGGCTAGATCGGGCTCTTGCTAACCTCAAATGGCAGCTGTTGTTTCCTGCGTCACGCGTGGTGCATCTGGATCCAAGTCGCTTTGACCACCTGCCTATTCTCATCTACCTAAACTAGCAGAAATATAAAAATGGGGCACCTTCGCCTAGGTTTCGATTTGAACACATATGGACCAGTCATAATGATTGTGAAAGTGTAATTAGTGCTACTTGGGTGACTATTGTTGATGGCACCCCTATGTTTCAGGTAGTTGAGAAAATAAAGGCTACACGCCTTCGTCTCTTACAATGGCACCGATCAGTTATCACAGCTACACAGCAGGACATCCAAAGCACTCGCGATAAATTGGGGATTATTTGGCAACAACAGTGCACGGATCAGACTATTGTAGCCTTCAAAGCCTTATCGACGCAATTAGATGAGTTATTGGTTCGCGAGGAGGCTTATTGGCAGCAAAGAGCTAAGGTGACTTGGCTTCGCGACGGGGATAGGAATACCAAATTCTTTCACCACAAGCCAACATGCGGAAGCAGAGAAATCATATTCATGGACTAACCGATAGCAATGGTGTATGGAAGGAGGACATCGCAGCAGTCTAGGAAATAGTGGTGGATTATTTCATATACCATTTCACCTCTAATTGTAGACGCAGGGAGGATATTCTTCTCAATACTGTTGAACCATGTGTGACACCAGCCATGAATACCTCGCTCCTTACTGGCTTCACTGAGCAGGAAGTAAAGCACTCTGTCTTTCAGATGTACCCAACCAAGGCACCTGGCCCAGATGGAATGCCACCTGTCTTTTTTCAGAAATATTGGCACATTGTGGGCAATGATGTGTCTCGAGCCATTATTAATTTTCTATCTTCAGGGCGTCTACTTCACAAGATCAACTTCACCCATGTGGTGCTTATTCCTAAAGTGAAAAACCCAAAGGATATGACCCAACTACGGCCTATCAGCCTCTGCAATGTTTTATTTAAAATTGCCTCCAAGGTGTTGGCTAATCGACTGAAAGTTATCCTCCCTTCTCTGATCTCGCCTAGTCAGAGTGTTTTTGTTTCAGGTCGCCTTATCTCTGATAATTCCATTTTGGCTGCTGAAATCATCCATTGCCTGCGGCGTCAACGACGGGGTAAGAAAGGCTTTTTGGCACTAAAACTTGATATGAGTAAGGCTTACGACAGAATTGAATGGCCTTTCCTGGAACAAATGATGAAGAAATTGGGTTTTGCAGAACAATGGGTTAGTCTTATAATGACTTGTGTCACTACTGTTACTTACTCATTTCTAGTTAATGGCTCACCTTGTGGCTACCTTACCCCTTCTAGGGGTCTCAGACAGGGAGATCCGCTGTCACCCTATCTGTTTATTTTATGTGCACAAGGTTTCTCTAGTTTTCTTACACAGGCGGAACAGGATGGGCGTGTAAAAGGAGTCTCCATTTGTCGGGGTGCTCCTACAATCAACCACCTACTGTTTGCCGATGATTGCTACCTGTTTGCCTGTGCAAATGTGGGAGATTGTGGGACAATCAAGGAGGCACTCTCTTGGTATGAATGGGTATCCGGTCAACAAGTTAATTTACAGAAGAGTGCAATATGTTTCAGCAAAAATGTTAAGCGCCAAGACCAACTGGATCTCGCCACATCTCTCGGTGTCCCATGTGCTGATCATTATGATAAGTATCTTGGGCTTCCAATGATAGTTGGCAGGAACAAAGGTTCCTTATTTGCACATCTTAAGGAACGGTTGGGGAAAAAATTGCATAGCTGGAAAGGAAAGCTTTTAAGTGGGGCAGGGAAAGAAATCCTTATCAAAACTGTGGCACATGCTCTCCCATTGTATTCGATGAGCGTTTATTTATTGCCCAAATATTTTTGCGATTATCTTAACCGCTTAATTGCAGATTTCTGGTGAAATGGAAACAATGGCGACAGGAAAATACATTGGCTTACTTGGTATAAGCTTTGCCAACCCAAAGAGCTTGGAGGACTGGGCTTCCGTGATTTATATGCTTTCAACCTTGCTATGTTAGCTAAGCAAGGATGGAGACTCATACAATATCCAAATTCTCTATTAGCGAGTGTTCTACGAGCTAAGTATTTTCCCGACAAATCTTTTCTTGATGTTCCTGTCTCAAAAAATTCTTCTTTTGTTTGGAAAAGTATTTGTGCAGCTAGAAAAATTCTTTTGCAGGGATCTAGAAGGCAGGTGGGCAGTGGGGCAGAGATTGATATTTGGAAGGAGCCATGGCTTCCACGCCCTTCTACCTTTCGGGTTATTTCACCAAAACCCAACGGCTGTGCTATTACCAAGGTGAATGAGCTTATTCTTGACCACCATCGGCGCTGGAATATCAGCCTTCTATCTAACCTCTTTTACCCTCCCGATGTGGATGTGATCCGAACTCTTCCGCTGAGCTTCCATCA